GCCACTTCCTGAAACGTGGCCCCAGGGACAGCCTGATTTGTGAGAGGAAGGAGGGTCCCCATCTCCGCTAAGCCGGGTCCTGAGCTTGAAGAAGAGGCCCCATTCCCCATCCATTGTGCAGTCCCAAGGGGCGAGGGGCCGGGGAAGGGGGGTCAGCTCCTGAGGGCTGAGAAGGACGGCCCCTGGGGAGAGAGAGGGTGAGGAGGGCATGCCAGGGGCTGGGAGACAGCTCAGCTCTCTCCCCATCCAGCTCCTTCCCAAATGGACATGGGGTCCAGCTCCTGGCCCCCCCTTGTACCAAACCTGCTACTGCTCTTGCTGGCACTGCTGCCTGGGGGCCAAGCTGGCACAGACTGCTATGGGATCGCCGGGATGCCGGGCCTGCCTGGGGCCCCAGGGAAGGATGGGCATGACGGATTGCCAGGGCCCAAGGGTGAACCAGGTGAGTCTGCTGGCCTGCTGGGGAGGGGTCACCTAGGGCCTGGGGGCAGGAGTCGGAAGTGTCCATCTGAGGCTGACTCTGGGGACGGTGGACAGCTTCTTGATGGCGAGGAGTGTGGTCCCTCCGGCCATGCCTGCTCCCAGGGCAGAGTCTTAACTCTTGTGGCAGGTCTAGCCCCTCTCCCCCTCAGAGCCCAGGCCTCCGGCCTCCCCAGTTTCCCCATCTGACAACAGGGAGAGAACAAGAGCACCTGCCCTAGAAGGTGGCAGGGAGGATCACGGAAGATGATCCAGGTGAAAGCCTTTGGCAAACTCTAAAACGCTCTGCTACTATTTTATTCCAACCCCTCCACGACTTGCCCTGCAACATGGACCCCAGTGACTGTATACAATGCCCAGGTGACCAGGGTTCAAGTCCCAGCCCCACCACTTTCCACTGTGTGAACTTGCACAAGTTATAGAACCTCCCAGTGCCTCAGTTTCTTCATCTGTAAAATGGGGAGATGGTAGTACCTACTGCACAGGGGTGCTGTGATGATTAATAAAATTAAATATAAAACAGTACTAGCACGTGGTAGGTATCAGTAAGTGTGGGCTATGGTTGTTACTGCTGTTGTCATCTTTGTTTTTATCAGAGATGTGTGCTCCCTTCACTCCCTAGGATTCTGGGTAGTTGGAGGGGTAGGGAGTAAGGAGTCAGGATCACAGTCACAGAATCTTCTGTTGGAGATTCACGGGCAAGCCCTAGCACGAGTGAAAAGGGCTGAGGACATGAACAGGCACTGGTGTTGGGTGAGAACTGCGGTCTGCTGGTGACTTGTCTGAGAGCAGGTGCACATCTGGGGGTGGAATGTGTCCAGAGTGGCCATGGGGGAGGCTGGGGTGCGGCTGGGCAGAGGTGACAGGGGTGGCAGAGGCACTGGGCAAGGGAAGCCAGTGGAGGGGAATGTCCTTAGGAATTTCCCACTGTCACCTTCCCTCCTGGCAATAGAGTGGAATTGTACCAACATTCCAGAAGGAATTCTCCAATTCAGGGTGAGTCAAATGAAACCCCCAGGTCTGCCATTTTTCCAGGACCCTGTACTTCACAGCTGCCTCTGGCCATCTCACTGTGTGGGATGGCTGATGGACACCAATTTTTTTTAATATAAATTTATTTTTTATTTATTTATTTTTGGCTGCTTTGGGTCTTCGTTGCTGTGCGCGGGCTTTCTCTAGTTGCAGAGAGCAGGGGCTACTCTTTGTTGAGGTGCACGGGCTTCTCATTGCAGTGGCTTCTCTTGTTGCGGAGCATGGGCTCTAGGTGCGTAGGCTTCAGTAGTTGTGGTACGCGGGCTTCAGTAGTTGTGACACATGGGCTTTGTTGCTCCACAGCATGTGGGATCTTCCCGGACCAGGGATCCAACCCGTGTACCCTGCACTGGCAGGTGGATTCCCCACCACTGCGCCACTAGGGAAGTCCCGAACACCAATTTTTAGCTCCTAATTTGTGCCAGGCATGGTTCCAATTGCTCTACGTATATTCATCTCATGAGGTAGATAAAATTAACTCTGTTTTACAAATGAGAAAACTGAGGCCAAAATCCTTTGAAGAAACGATTTACTCCCATTTTACAAATGTCAAAGCTGAGGTTCAGAGAGATTGAGCAACTTGCCCCAAGTCACACACTGGAATCCTGTCCAACTTCCAAGGCCACGCCCTTAACCGCTACCCTGCACTGCCTCTCAGGCCCCCTCCCCACTGCCGTGTCCCCCCCTCCCAGTTGGCTGCTGGAAGTCAACCTGAAGCATGAAACACAGCCCTGTTTAACATAGCTGACAGCCATCACCGAGACCTGACATTACTGAGCACTGCCTGTGAGGTGCCCGGCACGGGCATTCTCCCACCCCACTCTGCCAGCAGCTCTGTGGGATCCGTTCTATTATGCCCTTATCTCAACTGGGCAAACAGAGGCTCTGGGAGGGGAGATCACCTGCCCGGGATCACGTGGCCTGACGCTTAGGTCTGCTGGGTTCTGATTCCCCACTCCTAACCCTGGGATCTAAAAGGCTCACAAGCCGCAGAAGATCCATCACAGTAGGTCTGCACAGACACCCACCCCAAAGGAAGTCGGAGGAGGAAGCAGCCACGAGGGCCAGCAGGGGTGGTCAGAGAGGGCTTCCTGGAAGAGGAGACTGGAGCCAGGCCCTAAAAGATGAGTATGGTTTGGACAAGGGAAGAAGAAGCTCATAGGGGCTCAGATAACTAAGGCGGTAACAAGAGTCAGACACTGACTGGGACTAGCCAGACTTGACTGTGAGTCCTGACTCCACCTCCTACCGGCTGCATGGCCTTGGGCAAGTTTCTGGCCTCAGTTTCCTCATATGTAACATGAAGTAAGTTGAAACAGGCCGGTTGTCAGAGGGGCTGAATTGGGCTGAGTGGGGCTGGGGGAGCTGGGGAAAGGCAGCCTCTATGGCTCCATCCGGTGGATCCCATGTGCTAAGCTGGCCTGGGCCTGGGTGGTTCCAGCTCAGAAATGGAAACAGGTTTTGTGGGGCTCTGAATCTTATAAAATGTTGAGGATCCTCTTTAAGAAAAGTAGTACAGAATTTGATGCGGGGGCGGGGGGAGGTTTCACAAATCTACACGTGCTACAAAATTGTTTTACAACTATAACCACACAAATAATGCATGTAAAAGTGGAGCTCTGTGGGTCCTACAAAGGTTAATTTCTTGGTTTTGATTTTGTACTTTAGTTATGTAAGATTGGAGACAACTAGGTAAAGGGTACATGAGACTTCCTCGTCCTTTTTTTTTTTTTTTTTTTTTTGCGTTACACAGGCCTCTCACTGCTGTGGCCTCTCCCTTTGTGGAGCACAGGCTCTGGACGCGCAGGCTCAGAGGCCATGGCTCACGGGCCCAGCCACTCCGCGGCATGTGGGATCTTCCCGGACCGGGGCATGAACCCGTGTCCCCTGCATTGGCAGGCGGACTCTCAACCACTGCGCCACCAAGGAAGCCCCCTTGTCCTTTTATTTTTTTGCAACATCCTGTGAATCTGTAATTATTTCAACATAAAAAGTTGAAAAAATTATAAATGTAAAATTATGCAAAGGGTCTTGAAAGGGCCAGTGCAAGTAAATGGGTCTCAAAGCTTAAGTTTTAGGACCTTTCCAGGCGATCTGCCTCTGACCGATCTTCTGATTTTTGTCAAGAAAAACTAAGAACCTAGACTTTTAGGTGAGGAGTTATCTGAGGCCGCATGCTGTCCGTGGGCTGACAGTCGTGGCCTCTGGCATGCTCTCTGAGATGCAGCCCAGCTCTGCCACCTCCTGAGCTGGCTGGTCCTACCCTCCTCTCCATCACAAACATGGAAACTGAGGCCAAGAGACGGGGCCGTGCTGCAGCCAAGGTCAGAGGGCAAGACCATGGGGAGGCAGGATTTGAACCAGGGTCTCTCTCCCCTCTTCTCCCTGCCCACTGTGCCCAGGTGAGTAGGCCACCCTCAGGGGGAAAGAGAGTCCAGAGACCAAACCCTGGTGGCATGTCCCCTGGAGCATAGCCCTGTCCCTCTTCCCTGTCCCCTGCTCCATCACTTCCTTCCCACCTGCTCTCTCCCCAGGAATCCCAGCTATCCCTGGGACACGAGGACCAAAGGGTCAGAAGGGAGATCCTGGCACACCTGGCTATCCTGGGAAAAATGGTCCCATGGGAACCCCTGGGATTCCAGGGGATCCCGGCAACATGGGACCCCCTGGGGACCCGGGCGATGAGGGCAGGTACAAGCAGAATCACCAGTCAGTATTCACTGTCACACGGCAGACAGTCCAGTTCCCAGCGCCCAACAGCCTGGTCAAGTTCAACTCAGTCATCACAAACCCACAGGGGGATTACGACACGAACGCTGGCAAGTTCACCTGCAAAGTTCCCGGCCTCTACTACTTTGTCTACCACACGTCACACACGGCCAACCTGTGTGTGCAGCTGTACCACAACAGTGTCAAGGTGACCACCTTCTGTGACCACATGTCCAACGCCAAGCAGGTCAGCTCAGGCAGTGTGCTGCTGCGGATGCAGGCGGGCGAGGAGGTGTGGCTGGCGGTCAACGACTACAACGGCATGGTGGGCACCGAGGGCTCCGACAGTGTCTTCTCCGGCTTCCTGCTCTTCCCTGACTAGGGCAGGCAGACCTGCTCCACTCCCCGGGGCCACCCCATCTCCCTCAGCTTCCCTGCAAGAACCCACTGGGCCACACATCCTTGCTCAGGTCATTCTCGCCACTGGATGGACTCCTCCTCCAGGAAGCCCACCCTGCCCCCCTGCCCTGAGTTCTCTCCCTCGTCCAAGCTCCTTCAGGAGTCACTGCTTTGACACTTAACCAACACCTTCTGATACTGTCATTAGTGTTTTCCAAGTCTTGGAAGAGGCAGAGAGATACATGAATAAATAATTAAATCAAAGGCTACGCACGGCTCCGAATCCTCACTGCCCATTCCCTAAGAAGTAGTTCCCTTCATCTTCCACTTTGCCCCTGCCACAGCCATGTGTGGGCTCCAGATTCAGGCATCTAGCTGGTGTTCAGTAAAGCTTGGTGCCAAGGTAGAGACACTCAGCACCATTTGGCCATTTGGGAGAGAGGTGGTCAAATGTGGCTGAAGGCTGCAAGGGGTCCCCAAAGGGCCATCCGTTGTCACTTGTTTGGGTGAGAGGCACTGCTGTCATTAAAGGTATTCGTGCTCACAGGTAAACGGGAGTGTGTTTGAATTCCCAGACCTATGTCGATCGATGTTGAGTTTTGGGAGCATCCATCACAGGAGGGGTTTGGGCTAAGGCAGGCCCAGCACAGATGAAGGCAAGATGTGCAATGAATTTGTGCTGAATTAATGAGTGAATTGGGGTGAATGAATGAATGAATGAATAGTGGGTAAATGAATGACTAAAAGCAGAGCAAATAAATGAGTAAAACAATCATAATAGCTAACATTTATTGAGCACTCACTATACACCAGGCATTACGCTAACCCACCTATTAAATGATTTAATATTCGTAATTATGCTCTAGGTGGGCATGGATGGGTGAGGGAGAGAGTGAGAATCTGACTCCCGGATGTCTGATTTTCCCCAAATAACTGAGACTCTGGGGGCCCCCAGGAGACCATCCAAAACCACTACTGCCCACAAGCCATCAGGGTTTCACTGTGAGACTCCTGACAGTTGGGCCCAGCTGCCTCGATCCTCGTTGGAGGACCAGGAAGCCGGCCGTAAGCTGCTGCCCTTTCGCTGCGCTCACCATGAGAAGGTGTTGACAGTTCAGGTTCAAAAAGATAAAAAGTGTAACTTTCCTGTGCAGATTGAGGGTCTGGCCTCAGAGCCCAGTGAAATCCAAGGCTCACTCAGGCCAGGGAAAATCACCCCTGACTGACTGGGCTCTCAGCTTGGTTCCACAAGGCCCCACAGAGCTCACAAAGGCATGAGATGGGCTGTAACAGCAGAGGCTGGAGCTCAGCTCTCCAGCCACTGCCATCCACTTTGGCTCCTTTGTTCCTGAAGGAAGCTGTTTCACACCCCCATAGCTTTGCCCATGATGTTCCTTCATTTTGTAGAGCCCCCACCCCACTCTTACAAATCCTCTGTCCAGTTAGATAATACACACTCAGCTGTCAGGAATCAACACAAAGATCACCTCCTCCATGAAGCCTTCTCTGATTCTCCCCTTCGTGTCCCCACAGCATCCTCCACCGACTTGGACCACAGACTCATGACTTGTTAGAGCCCAGGTTCCCAAATCTGGGGGTGCAAAAAATTACCTGCAGACTTATTTATAAAATAAAAAAAAAGATTTCTGGACCCAAGCCTGTTATACAAAGGTTTGGAGAGGACTGCTATTTCCAGCAAGCTACAGGCTGTCTACATCTCAGGAGCGGGTCACAGGACAGCTCTTGGGACTGGGGGAACCTGCATTGACCTGTTTCACCAATCAACCTATTCTGAAAAATTGAAAGTTGCTCAAGGTTGATTCAAGGGCGGCAGCGGCTCCAGAGGCAGCAGCGCCGGGTCCCCGTGGAGGTGCTCCTAGAGTTTTCCTGGAGCAGTGGAAGTTCTGACCGCAGGGTCAGGACCCATCAGGTTTGTGTTCTCACCATAGAACAGGGGCCAGTTCGGTTCTGTTAGTGCCCTGAGATCTCCCTCATCCCCCTGAGTTTCGGAGAAATGGCTGAAGCTAGTGAGCCCATGATGAAGAAAACTTCAAAATCTGTTCCTTTGGAGAGGAATAAGAGAGAAAAGGAACAATTCCGTAAACTCTTTATTGGTGGCTTGAGCTCTGAAACCACAGAAGAACGTCTGTGGAACCACTACCAGAAATGGGGATATCTCACAGACTGTGTGTTAATACGGGACCCTGTAAGCCAAAAATCAAGATTTGGTTTTGTCACGTTTTCATCCATGGCTGAGGTTGATGCTGTCATGGCTGCCAGACCTCATTCCATTGATGGGAAAACAGTTGCTCCCAAACGTGCTGTCCCAAGAGAGGACCATGGAAAGCCGGGGGCTCTTGTCACTGTGAAGAAGCTGTTTGTTGGTGGAATTGCAAAAGATACTGAGGAACGTCATCTTAGAGATTACTTTGAGAAATATGGAAAAATCAATGCCATTGAAATAATTACTGACAGGCAGTCAGGCAAGAAAAGAGGTTTTGGGTTTGTTGCTTTTGATGACCATGATCCCGTGGATAAGGTTGTGTTGCAGAAAAATCATACCGTCAATGGTCATCATGCAGAAGTAAGAAAGGCCTTGTCTAGACAAGAAATGCAAGAAGGCCCATGTTCTAGTAGTGGAAGAGAAAGAAACGCTGGTTTTGTATATTTTCATGGTGGTGGTAGAAAGTTTGGAGCAGGAAACTTTGGAGGAAGGAACTTTACAGGAGGATCTGACAGATATGGAAGAGGACATACATTTGGGGATGGCTATCATGGGTCTGGAGGAGGACCCGGAGGTGGCAATTTGGGGGGTAGCCCTGGACATGGAAGAGGGCGAGGAGGATATGGTGGTGGATATGGCAACCAGGATGGGAGCTCCAGAGCTGGTTATGACAACTATAAAAGGAGGAATTATGGAAGTCAAAATTACAGTGATTGGGGCTTCCCTGGTGGCACAGTGGTTAAGAATCCGGCTGCCAATGCAGGGGACATGGGTTCGAGCCCTGGTCTGGGAGGATCCCACATGCTGCGGAGCAACTGAGTCCTTGTGTCACAACTGCTGAGCCTGTGCTCTAGAGCCCGCAAACCACAACTACCGAAGCCTACATGCCTAGAGCCCGTGCTCCGCAATGGAGAGTAGCCCCTGCTCGCCGCAACTAGAGAAAGCCTGCACGCAGCAACGAAGACCCAACACAGCCAAAAATAAATAAATAAAATTAAAAGAAAAATTACAGTGATTTGGAGGATTATAAGCAGAAACCCTCTAGGTACGAATTACTGAAGAGTGGAAAACTGAGTGGTAGCAGGAACATGGGGGGATCATACAGTGGAGGAAGCTATGGTCCAAGAGGCAATGGAGGAAGTGGGGGTTATGGACAGACAAGATGATACTGAGCTTCTTATTTGCCATGGGCTTGACTGTATAAATAGAGAATTAGAGCCCAGAGGTAACAGAAGAGCTTTAGGTTATCGAAATAACAATGTTCAGGAAACTCTTATCTCAGTCATGCAGGGATATGGCAGAAGACACCAGAGCAGGTACACAGAGCTATTTTGTGAGTGGACTCAATTATGTAAGAGCATTACCTTCCTGTGGAGGAAAGACTATAAAAAATGCTTTTGAAACAGTTTCTTAGCTTTTGAATTGTTGTGTCTTTCCAGTGGTCTCTATAAAAGTGTGGAAGAATCCCTTCTTTGATAATGTCAAATTTCAAAGTTTTGGGTGACATGTGAAACCTTTTTCAAGATTTTTCTCAAAGTCTTGAAAGACTATTAGCCAGAATCATGGTGTAATAAGACATAACATCGTTCTTCTAAAAAATTCGATTTCGTGTGTAGAGTTAAGAAGCTGTTGTACATTTAAGATTTAATAAAATAATTCTAAAGGTAAAACAGTAGTAGTTTGTCCTCTTTGATAATTTTGCACTTTTAGTTTTTACCTTTTAAATGTTTTTCTTGTTTTATGATATCAAATTTTGAAGTGTAATGATATGACTTACCTATATTATGAAATGGTTACCAAAAAAACCTTTTTCTTCTTGTGATGAACAGGATTTACTGCCTTAACAACTTTAATAGTATCCTACAGCTGTGCTAATTTTGGTCTTCTTGTACATTCCATCTTTTGTAATGGTGAATAACTTGTCATGTATCTATTGGTCACTTGTATATCTTCTTTGGATAAATGTCGATTCAGTTCCTTAGTCCATATTATAGTTTGATTATTTGCTATTGTGACGTATGAGTTTTTGTTGTACATCACCTGTTTTGTATTTATTTACCTTATAACTGGAAGTTTGTACCTTTGAACAACCTTTATCCTGTACTGCCTCCCACCAATTTTCTGCTGCTGGGAGCCACAAGCATGATGCATGATTCTTTTTCTGTGAGTTTAATCATTTTCTTCGGGATTTCACAAATAAATACGATCATACAAAAAAAGAAGGGTTTGGGGAGGACAGAGACATGGGTGGGTGGACGGTCTGCCAGGTGAAGTCAATGCACGAGGTCCACCACCTGGCTCTTCTGCACTTATTTCCTTACAGGTCTGCATCCCTCACTGGACTGTGAGCATCCTTGAGGGTGGGGCCCCTTTGATACAGGCCAGGAGCATAGTAGGGGCCTGGGAAATGTGTCAGATGAGAAGGAAGGAGAGATGAAGACACACACATACACACACACACAGAGCAATAACGGAGGCCAGGGCCTAGGAACTCGGCCTGGTCCACAGAGCCTGAGAGCCACTGGCAGGGACAAGGGGGGTCACGGGGCGGCTGCACTCGCAGCTCACCTCCAGCGGCTACTTAGCAGCCCACCCGGCAATGCCGCAAGCGATACATCGTTCTTCTCATTTCTCTTTTGTTTAAGAAATCAGTGCACCGTTTATGTAGGCCTCGGTGTCAGATCAGAAACCTGTATTTCGGAAACGACCATTTTTGTTTTCCATAATTGTTTCCTTGTTGTTCTCTCTTTGCCAGGAGAGACAGGCCTTTGAAGATGCCAGCTTGTCTACTGGGCTGAGGGGAGCTGGGGGAGGGCTTTTAAGGGGGGTAGCAAGGGTGGGACAGGAGCTAGTACGAGGCACCCCAAGGACCGGGGGGCCTCTTTCAGACCACGGGAGGTGGAAGGGTCTTAGGCTTCTCTTCCACCCTCTGTAGGGATTGTCCCCTCTCTATCAGGGTTGTAAGCCAGCGTTTTAAGGGTACAGAGACCAGCTGGCTCTCACTCAGGGGCCAAGGGTCTCCCTAGCTCCTGACCCCTAATCCAAGCATGGCTCCTGTGCCTCCAGGCTCCAAGATTTCTGTCTTCTCTTCAGAGAAATCACACGACTCCCAGGTTTGCCTTGGGTGCCTACTGAGGGCTGGGCACTCAGCTAGGCCCTGGACATGTGGGGTTACCTCACTGGCCCCACAATCACCCCAGGAGGGGGTGCCCATGCCCCTGACTCATATACGGGGAAACTGAGGTCAATAAACACACCTGAGGCCACATAGCTAGAAAGAGGTAGGCCTGGGATTCAAACTTAGGAGCGGGGCTTCCCTGGTGGCGCAGTGGTTGAGAGTCCGCTTGCCGATGCAGGGGACGCGGGTTCGTGCCCCGGTCCGGGAAGATCCCACATGCCGCGGAGCGGCTGGGCCCGAGAGCCATGGCCACTGAGCCTGCGCATCCGGAGCCTGTGCTCCGCAACAGGAGAGGCCACAACAGTGAGACACCCGCGTACCGAAAAAAAAAAAAAAAAAAAAACAACTTAGGAGGGGCTGATTCCAAAGCCCATGCCCTGACCACCCCCACCCCCGCTGCTTCCTATTCTTAGGCTCATCCTGTTTCTACCCCAAATTCAAGCCCATCTTTTGCCATTTTTACCAGCCACCAAATCATTGAAGGGTCTATAGTTGGCTGAACCCAGAGACCCTTGGGTTTTATCACACGAGTCTCTTTTTTCCCTATCACCCTCGGCAGTAAACACTTAATTTCTGCCAAGAAGCATCCACAAGCCCAACGATTTTCTCTCTCTAAGCACAGATATCAAGAGAGCCCTCCTGACCTATGGCAGCTCCTGGGACTTGCTGGGCAACCATCCCTGAGAGGGGCATCACGTTGCTTTAGACACAGCCTCGGTAAGAGGGCTGCTATCCCGGTGCCAGGGATGCCTGACTCCAAGTCCTGCATCTGCCACTAGCGAGAGGTGTGGGCTCCAGCAGCTACTTCTTGTGACATTCATCGCAGGAGCAATGAAACCACTGTGTCACTTGATGTGTAATACCAGTCTCCCCCAGGAGAAGAGACACCCCACGGGGCAGGACCCATGGCTGACTTGCTTGTGGTGTGGCTCTACCGCCAGAGTACATAGAGGCTCACGATAAATATTTGCTGAACAATGCTCTCTCCCCTCTGGGCCTCGGTTTCCCCATATATAAAATGAGCGGCACGGGCTGGGTGACCTGCAAGCCCCTCTCCTGTCCTAACTTGCTGTGATGCCAGGATCAACGAGCAACAGGCTCCTGGCTGTGCCGATTATAGTCATCAGCTACAGGTCCGCTGGAAGCAGAGGAAGGGGTATAAGCAAATAATGACCACATTTAAAATTCATTTTTCATTATTAGATTATTTTCTGAGAACAGGGAAAGAGCCGGGGTGTAGAAGGGAAAGAAAGCAGAAGATGAGCCCAGAAAGGGGAGGCCTGGGACATGGTATGATATTAACAATTAACGTGTGCACAGCACTTTACAGTTTACCCTCCTCTTTCTCCACTATCCCATCTGAGCCCCCCAGTGCAATCTGTAGAGCAAGTACAATTATGGTCCCACCATATGGCAGAGGAAATGGGGGCTCCCTTGGGTTCCCTTGGCTGAGAATGTTTAGTTGGTAAGTGGCAGAGCCAGCATATGAGTCAAGGCTCCTGACTCCAAATCCAGCCCTCGGGCACCAGGGCAGCCATGTTTCCATTTCATTGAGGAACACCCATGTTCCTGAAGAAATTCATGAGGTCAGGGGCCTTGGCAGGCAAGCCCCCAGTTGTGGACATTCTCCCGGAACAGCCCGATTCCCCCACAGCTGCTGAGCTGGCAAAACCAAACTGGCCACCCACCCGTCCTATTTACAGTAAACCCTCCAGATTGCAGAAACGGGACCTGAAACTGCCTGAGGACAGCAGAACAGGGTGAGAGTGGGGTGACAGGGAGGGGGGCCGGCCTGCTGGGTCCCTGGGAGGGGACCGTCAGGGGAAGGCCCTCGTTCTCGCTGGAGAATGGAACTTCCGCTTTGGACTGAGAACAGGAGGCTCCCAGCTGCCTGTCCCACTGCTGCCCAGCCCAGCGGCATCAGAGGACGCCAGGTTCCCAGGTAAGGATGGGGCTTGGCGCCTGGGGGGACTGGCGGGCAGGACCAATATGGCAGAGGGTGGTGATCCCAAAGTATAGGCCCTGCATCCCCTGCCTCAGAGCCACCTGGAGTGTCTGACAGGGAGGATTCCTGGGCCCAATCTCAGACCTCGGGAGTCAAACTCTCTGGGGGTCAGCTTGGGAGTCTGCTGCTACCTGGGGTCCCAGGTGATGGGGAGGCACCAGGATACAGGCTTTGGAGTCACCAAGACTGGAGCTGAGCCCTGCTTCTGCCTCTCAGGTGCTGGTGATCTGAGCCAAGTCACATGACCCGTCTCAGTCTGGACCCTCTCCGGGGATATCAGAACCTTTCAGGGCTGCTGTGAGCCCTAAAGGATACATCAGCTCAGCCAGCTCTTAGCACACTACCTGGTGCAAGCTTTGTCAGAGGCAGGGATGGAATTAGAATCCAGGGTCCCCTCTGCTCAGCCCGGCATTTCTCCAGCACCCGCCTTCTCTTATTTCCTCACAGTCAGATGAGAAAACTCAGCTTGACTCTTTCAACGAAATGATTTGACTTGCAGGCGGGGTTGTGATGAGTTGTTAGTTAGTACTGATACCACTCAATAAGGCTTGTGAAGGAGGGTGTGGGGTTGGGCACTGCACTAGGGACCTGGCTCCTTCTAGGTTCCCTCGCGTGTAATCCTCCGGCAGCCCTGTCAGTTTGAAATTAACTTTGCCAAAGGCTCAGAGAGAGGTTAAGGCACTTGCCTGAAGTCCTGCAGCGAGGCAGCAGCAGAGTGGGAGTTCAAGGTCAAGTTGGCCTGACTCAAAGTCAGGGGCAAAGGGGCTCTTGGGGCTGGAAGGAGATGGAAGGGCGGCTGGTATGGGGAGCATGTGAGGAGCCAGGCTGACGGCGGTGACAGGCGGTAAAGGCCAGGGGTGGTCACCGGATGAGCTTTAAGTCCTTGCCCAAGTCTGAGGCTCGCTGGCCCCTGAAATGGGCCAGAACCCAGATCTCCCCACTACCCCCCCACCTCCGGCTCCCCCGAAAAAGCCCAAGTCTCATCATGGGTCAGGACCCTGCTCCCCTCAAACGCCCACCCCCCGGCAGGTGGCCAGGGCTCCCCACCTCTGTGCTGCCTGCACCTGAGAGACCTCCTCTCCCTGAGCCCAATCTCCCAAAGGGACCGGATTCTTTTTTACTTTTCCAAGCATCCTCCGTTGTGTCCTGAAACCTGGGGACTCTCAGATGACAGTGATAATAAAAAAACTAGCTAATATTCACAAAGCACTTCCAACATGTCGGGCTGTCGCGAGCCCTAACGCATCTGTCCTGCCGCCAACGCTGTGAGGTAGAGATTACTATTATCTCCCTTTTACAGAAGGGGAAGCTGTGGTCAGAGAGAAGCAACTGGCCTAAGGCCCATAGCTAAGAAGGGGCACAGGCCTGGTTTGGACCCTGGCAGTGTCCCTTTCCTTATGACACTCCAGGCCCCTCACCTTTGGTGAATGTTTGCTGCCAAACAACAGCAGAAATAATAGTAATGGTAAAAGCCATCACCACGCACCGGCCCACAACCAGCACTGCTCTAAGTACAACCCAGGCTGTAGCTCCTTCTGTCAGTCTGTCTGGCTCCAAAGCCCATGTTTTAACCACCAGGTAGGGAGGCCTCTTAATGTAACACCCCGTGGTGTTTGGATGGGTTTGAATGGGGAGCGGGTTTGAATCTCAGCCACAACGGGGCTGCGTGACCTTGATCGAGGTTCCCGCCCTCTCCACTGCCCAGTTTCTTCGTCTGTGAAATGAGAAAGCAGGGGTGCTTTCCCAGGGGGCTGCTGTAAGGACCAAATTAAATGAGAGAATGTGGCCCGTGAAGTGTTTGGCACAGAGCCTGGCACCTGCTAAGTGCCCAACGCATTGATTATTCAGGGTGTCAAATTGTCGTTGTGTAAAACCTCCAGCCAGATAAGCAGGATCGTCCCCAGAGCCCCCCTCTCTTGGGAGCGTGACAGAGCCTAAGCCGGTCACTCGTGGCCCTGGTCGCACCCACATTTGCAGCGCCCCTTTCCTTGGTACCCAGTACAGCCCCCGGTCTAATTCAGCTCCTGGCCTGAGCCATGAACTGATTAAGAGAACAAGGGGGCTGAGGCTGACTTTCTGAGCACATGAGCCCCACATCAGCAGGTTTTTCTGGGCTGGCACAGGCCTCATGAGGCAGAGGGGGCAGGGGTCTGGCCACAGCCCCACCATCAGCCAGCTCACTGGGTGATTTGGGGAGGGCTGTTTTCTAATGTTTGCATCTCAGTTTCCTCATCGGCAAGGTGGGAAAATAATCACAACCCACTTCCCTGGAGCGCTGTGAGGATCAGACAACCTCAGCTACGGGTCTGAACTAGAGCCCCAAACCCGATGGTTCTTCCCCAGCCATGGCCTCACCTGGCTCCCCATGGTTATCTTGGGAGATGAGCAGGGACCCCTATGCTCTCCTATTTTAAGAGCAGGAAACTACTCAGCCTTTGTGGGCTGAGGGGTTATGAGGGAAGGCTTCCTGGAGGAAAAATGCTTTGACCTGGGCCTGGAAAGATGGAGAGAATTTGCATCTGGGCAGAGGTGGAATGGGCTGCCTCAGAAGGTAATGAGCTTCCCATCACTGAGATGGTACAAGTCATGGACGGAAGGGGCCTTGGCAGAGATGTTATTGAGGAGACTTAACAGTAGGCTGAGGATCCCTCAAGAAGTTAAACACAGAATTACCGTAAGACCCAGTAATTCCACTCCTGAGTATATACTCAAGAACTGAAAACAAGTTTCAAACAAATCCTTGTACATGAATGTTCACATTAGCACTAGTCACAGTCGGCAAAAGGTGGAAACTTCCCAAATGCCCATCAATAATGAATGGATAGGGCTTCCCTGGTGGCGCAGTGGTTGAGAGTCCGCCTGCCGATGCAGGGGACACGGGTTCGTGCCCCGGTCTGGGAGGATCCCACGTGCCACGGAGCTGCTGGGCCCGTGAGCCATGGCTGCTGGGCCTGCGCGTCCGGAGCCTGTGCTCCGCAACGGGAGAGGCCACAACAGTGAGAGGCCCACGTACCGCAAAAAAAAAAAAAAAAAAAAAAAACTTTCCTGGTGGGAATGTCTATAGACTTTCCTGGTGGGAGGACTTCCCTCACAAAACCAGCCCTCCAGGCAGCCTTTCATTTCAGCCAGGGCACTCACCACGGCCTATAACTAGTTCTATTGACTTGTATGTTGACCTGTTTATCGTCTCCCAGACTGTCAGCTCCATGAGGGCAGGGACCACATCTGTCTTGTTCACCAGCGAATCTCCAGCGCCCAGAACAGGGTCCGGGGGATAAGGCACTCAGTGAACACAGGAACAAGTGAAGGAATGAATGAACAAACCATGGCTGTAACCTACCGCATCTTCTTGTCCCCTGCCGCCACACACACAGGAAGCAGCTGAGCAGGGCCATGATGAAGACCCCGCGGGGCAGCGTCCCAGTGCTGCTGCCGCTGATGCTCCTGAGTCTGCTCCACGTCTCCCGGGCCCAGAGTGGCTGCATTGGGCACCCGGCCATCCCTGGCATCCCGGGCATCCCCGGGGCACCGGGCTCCGATGGCAAACCAGGGACTCCAGGGATAAAGGGAGAGAAAGGTACTGTGGACTTTGGGAACAGACTAGTGTCACTGACCAAGGCCCCATCTCCTACCTCCCAAGTCCCAGTTGCCCACCTTAAGGATTGCAAAACACTTGCAAATCCATCAGTTTGCTGAGCCCTCCACAATAACTTTGCAAGGAAGGAATTCTGATTCCCATTTTACAGATGGGAAGACTGATGTCCGAAAGGCTACTGACTTGCTCAAGGGAACCCAGTAAATGTTGAGGCTGAGGCCAAACCATGGCTCTCTTACCACTAAATCCACTGCAGTCACACAGTCCTGGGTTGTTACCTCCAGGGTAGGTGGCTTCGCCTCTCTGAATTGCTATTTCCTCACCTGTAAAATGTGGATAATGATTCTTTGTCAGAGTTGTCACAGGGTTCAAATGAGACTTCCTGCCATAAAACCCTCCTGTGAGATGTAGTTCATGCGCTCATTTAACCATAGCCTTCCGCTCTCTTCACATAATCTCACAATCCCACAAAACATCATCATCCCCATTTTACAGGTGAGGAAGCTGAGCCTGGGAGAATGTGACCCAGTCAAGGTGACCCAACTAACGATGGCAGATGTGACATGAGAAACACATCTGCCTGTCCCCTGAGCCCATGTTCACAGCCACTCTACTGGAAAAGGTTTTATCTTGTGTTCTGCCAAACCAAGGAGGAGTAGCTGTTTGGAGTGGTGGAGTGAGAAGGATTCTAATACTTCCAGGTTCAGCAAGAAAGAATGCGTGATTGATGAGGGATATGTGCCATCAGGGAGGGGGTGGAGACGGATAGCACATGTGCCCGGAATTCCTGATCCCTGCTCCAGGCTTAAGCCTGTATGAGCTGGTGAGGAGGGCAGGTCCAGCACCTTCCTGAGGGAGACGCCGCTCCCCAACCCACGGGCATCGGTCCCCATTACTGTCAAGCACGTCTCAGACTCAGAAAGCTGGGCTGGAAGGAAACTCGGGGGCCCTCCCCGACATCCCGTCCTCTTGTTCACAGATGGGGAGCTGAGGCCCAGAGAAAAGCGGGGACCTGTCTGAGGTTACGCAGCCAGGCTCCCTGCCTCCCAGCCCAGCTCCTTCCGGGTTCTCAGCGATCTCTGGCCCCCTCATATCTCTTGTCTCTGCCTTCCAGGGCTGCCGGGGCTAGCTGGAGACCACGGTGAGCTTGGAGAGAAGGGGGACCCAGGGTTTCCTGGGATTCCAGGAAAAGTCGGCCCCAAGGGCCCCGTTGGCCCCAAAGGTGCCCCAGGGCCTCCCGGAGCCCACGGCCCCAAGGGCGAATCAGGAGACTACAAGGCCACGCAGAAAATCGCCTTCTCGGCCACACGCACCATCAACAGCCCCCTGAGGCGGGACCAGGTCATCCGCTTCGACCACGTGATCACCAACACCAACAACAACTACGAGTATCGAAACGGCAAGTTCACGTGCAGGGTGCCCGGCCTCTACTACTTCACCTACCATGCCAGCTCTCGAGGGAACCTGTGCGTAAACCTCATGCGGGGCCGGGAGGAGACACAGAAGGTGCTCACCTTCTGCGACTATGTCTACAACACCTTCCAGGTCACCACGGGCAGTGTCGTGCTCAAGCTGGGGCTGGGGGAGACCGTCTTCCTGCAGGCCACCGACAAGAACGCCCTGGTAGGCATCGATGGGGCCAACAGCATTTTCACCGGGTTCCTGCTCTTCCCAGATGCAGAGGTGTGACCTGTGGGTCCAATTCACCCCCTCCCCTGCCAGCCACGCTCTCTTTACCCCCAACACCAGCCCCCACACAGCCAAAACACACAGTAGGGCTCCATGGATATTGCTGAATGAATGAGTAAATAAACTTTTCAAGGCCAAGGGACAGTGGTCTAATTCAAATCTGTGTGCCAGCGACTGGCACATAGTAGGTGCTCAGAAATATTGCTTGAATGCTGCTTGAATGACTGAACAATGAATGAATGAATGAGCTCTGAAAGCAGAAGCTCTATCTAGTTGGTGGTGACTGGAGGGCCAGACTTTGTGTCCAGTTCTGTGCCAGACGCACAATGGGAGATGGGGAGGGAACACCATCTGTTGAGCACGTATATGCTCAAAACACTGGGCTAGACCCTTTCCCCCTTCTCTCATTAATCCTCGCACTCATCCTTGGAGATAGGTTAAATCATGCCCAATTCACAGATGAGAAAACTGAGGATCAGAGGGATGAAGGGATTGCCCTCGATCCCACAGAAGAGCTGGGAGGGCAGGTCTGCCCACTGATAACTGAGACCTCTTTCAAGGCAAGGCATCTAGGCCCCTAAAGGGGTATTCTCTGTGTAACGTCACAAACCTCCACCCAAGGGATCAAGGAGCCTTTCTTCAGTCTTAAGTGACCTTGGAATCAAGACCCTTCCTCTTTTGATTCTCACCACATGCTCTCCTTCCCAATGCCTTCCCAGCCTGGCTCAAGCTCAGCCATCCAGTTAGAACACACGTCACTCCCCTGCTCAATAATCTTCAGTGGCTCCCCACTGCCAACTGGACATAGTCCCTGCCCACGAGCTGGCATTCAAGGCTCTCTATGGATTGACCTTCCAGTCTCAATCCTTCCTCTCCCGGACAAAGAATATCTCCACTCCAGACCAGCTGGGCCCTTTCTGTCTTCTAGGCAAGACACATGCTTTCCTGCCTCGATGCCCTTACTCTCACTGTTCCCCTTCCACTCTGCCTATCTAACCATCTTTTAAAACCTCATTCAAGCCACACCCTCTCCCTAAAAGCAGACCATGCCAGCCCTCGTAGCTCTTACCCCTCCAACCTCCTCTAACCCCATTTCTCAATCGTTCAAGTCTGAGCACACACTGCCTGCATCTAGCATTTCACTCATGCTCACCCCGTCTCCCCAGCTAAGCTGTGAGCCCCTTACCCTGCTCATCTCTGAACCCCTCCCAGCCCTGCACCTGCTCTCTGCAGCCCCTCCTACTAGTCCCACCCACCAAGATTCTCAACCAATCCTGACCAGAGGTAGAAGGGATTTAAAGCACTTCAGCCTATCACATAGGGTTATAGCACCAGTCCAGCCTCCTGCTTGGCTAGCCTGTTTCTCAGGATTCCGTTCATTGGGTGCAGCTTCTGCCCTATCTCCTGGGCTTCAGGCCTGCCCCCAACCTCAGACTCTTCAAAGGGGACCTAGATTGAGCCTTTTCACCGGGGGCTGGGCCTTCTTTCTGCTACGCAACCCTTTCAGTACAAACTGTCTGCCTGGTCTTTGTGTCTAGTAAGAATTGTTATAATAATAACAACCACACCACGACTGAGTTAAGTTACTGTGTACTTAGTGTTTTGTGTGCATTAGCTCATTCAACCCCCACCACAAACCCTGGGAGGCACATACTATTATCCTCATTTAAAAAATAAGAATCTGAGGCTCAGAGAGGGCAAGGGATTTGCCCAGGGTCACACAGATGCAAGTATACAGCCAGGATTGAGGCCTGCTTCTGTTTGTCTCAAAGCTCTTGCTAAATCTATAGACATACCACTCCTTGCCACCCTCTCCTGTTGGAATTCCCTCTGCAGTCCCCCAGCCTCTCACCTGAACCCATCCGACCTCAGGAGTCCACGTTCCTGAGCCTCTACCGTTGGGTCTGTCTGTACAGGGCTACACTTCACCCCAAGGGCAGATCTGCTTGGGGTGAGCACGTGCAGGGCACCCCAAGTCGCTGCAAAGACCCAGGCAAAGCCAGCCACGGCCAAGACATCAGAGCTCGTCTCTAGTGCTGCCTCAAGCCGGCTGGCTTTCCTACAGGACCTGCCCTCCTCTGACTCCTGACCCGTAGACCCTGACCCTGCCGCCTTTCCTCCGTCAGACCGCTACCCTGACAGCACTCTGAACTGTGCCCCTTTTGTGCCTTCCCTCCCAGCTTCCAGATCTGCCAGAAATCCAGGGCTCTCACTCCGTGTTCAGCCATGCCCACTGCAATCAAATATACACTTTACCTTTGTTATTGCTCTTTCCCACCCTGTGAGGAGGGTTCACCTTGTCAGCTCTCTGGAGAGACGATTGAGGTTTCATCACAGGAACCAGGACCAAGAATGATGGGGGGAGCCTGGAGGTGACCATAGGTGGGTCTCGGGATTTTGCCTATTCCATCACTGTCTGGACCTGCCTTTTCCCCTTTGCCCCTTCTCAGAGTGGATGGGGTTGAAACTCAGATCTCCTGGCTGGGCTAGCTAGTTGAGCAGGGGAAGGAAGGGAAGTGGTCTTCTCAGGCCTGTGACCCTTGACCTTCATGCACCCACCTTGACTCGGACTCATAACCCTCAACATGCCAGAGTCCTTTTAGTTTCCAGACTTCCAAGAAACCTCCTAGAAATAATAGCCTTCCAGAAAAGGAGGGACTTATCAGGAGAGGCCAGAGGACCTACAGGACCCAGGAGCAGGTGGGACAGCTCAGTCTCAGTGGACATGGGTGCCAGACCGGGGCTGCTGTGTCTCCCGCTGGGACCTCTCGGCTCTGAGCCTCTCTCTGCAGATTGGCCCTCTTAACTGTTAAAGGCAAGTGGAGATAAATGGATGCCCCCAACAACAGCCTGGACCACCAAGCCATCCCCTACCCCTCAAGGAAGTTACACAGAGACTAATGTCTCCTATTCCCAGTTCCCAGGAGAGGGGATCTGATTGGCCCAGCTTGGAGCAAGAATACTCCTGGCCCAATCAGCTGAGGCCAAGAAGGAACAGGCCTATAATAATAGCAGCTCATGGTTGTTGACCTAAACGCCCAGTGAGTATTCTCTCCTGTACTAGTCACAACAAGCCTAAGGAGCAAATCTTCTAATCCTGTGGTTGTCAGACTTCAGCAGGCATCACAGTCACCACGAGGGCTTGTTAGATTTGCATTTCCTGGGAATTCCCTGGTGGTCCAGTGGTTAGGACTCTGTGCTTTCACTGCCGAGGGTGCAGGTTCAATCCCTGGTCGGGGAACTAAGATCCCACAAGCCACAAGGTGTGGCCAAAAAAAAAAGAATTTGCATTTCCTAAGAGTCCCCACATGCTGCTGGTGCTGCTGCCTGAGGGACCACACTTTAGGAACCACTGCTCTAATATTATTGCTCCCATTCTATAGATAAGAATGTTGAGGCTCAAGGAGGAGATGTTACTTGCCCATGTCACACAGAAGATTCAGAATTTAGATCCAGGGACTTCCCTAGTGGTCCAATGGTAAAGAATCCGCCTTCCAATGCAGGCACCTTCCAATGCAGGGGACATGGGTTCCATCCCTGGTCAGGGAACTAAGATCCCACATGCCGTGGGGAAAATAAGCCTGCACGCCACACTACTGAGCTTGCGTGCCTCAACTAGAGAGACTGCGTGCGGCAAAACTATAGGGCCCACGCGCTCTGGAGCCCACATGCCACAGCTACAGAGCCCACACGCCCTGGAGCCAGTGCGCCACAACTAGAGAGAGAAAACCCACACGTCACAACTAGAGAGAAGCCCGTGCGCCGCAACGATGAGTCTGCGCAATGCAAGGAAAGATCCTGCCTGCCTAAACGAAGATCCCGCGTGCTGCAACTAAGACCCGATGCAGCCAAAAATAAACAAATAATAAATAAATAAATAAATCTTAAAAAAAATAGAATGTAGATCCAGGCCTATGTAACCCAGGGATCCATGTGTTAAACTCTGTGCCCTTCTGCCCAGACTGCAGGGTTGGCTGGGCAGTTCCTAGAGCAGTATGGGCGGCTCCACCTTGTCTGCCACCTCCTGGCTACAGTGCTCTATCCTTGATTCTCCACCTCCACCCTAGTCCATCCAGATGGGCGTGCCCCTCCCAGTGACCCACAAGCTTTGAGCCAATTAAGAAGAGAAAAGGAGGGACTTTCCTGGCGGTCCAGTTGTTAAGGCTCCGTGCTTCCAAGGCTGGGGGTACCGGTTCAATCCCTTGTCAGGGAACTAAGATCCCACATGCCATGCAGCCAAAAAACAAACAAACAAAAAACCAAAAAACAGAAGAAGAGGAAAGGAGGGTGAAAGCAAAGAAGGAAGGTGGGGGCTTGATAAGTAATAATAATAACAGCTCACAGAGTACCTGATGCTTGGTGACCTTTACAATCATGTCCCCCTTTCACAGAGGGGAACATCAAGGCACAGAGCAGTTAAGTGGCTTTTGCCTGATGTTACACAACTAGTAAGTAATACAATGAGCATTCGACACAAGGCAGTTTGGCTTCGGAGTCACTGCTCCCCACAGCAGGCAGGAGGTCCCTGAGGGGCTGTGTGGTGTGGCAGGTGAGGGCACTGCCTCTTGAGTCAGACAGACTTAAGATCAAATCCTGCCTGAACTCTTTACCAGCTGTGCGACCACGTCAAGTGACTGCCCTGGTCTTCTATATTACCTGCTTACAAACAAACGATGCAGTGCGCACGCTGGTATGTATCGGTGATTCTTCTCTTGGATTAAATTCCTCAAAGTGGATTCCCTAGGGGAAAGGATGTGTAAACTTTGAAGGCTTTGAAATGTGAAAGGATTATCTGTCAAGGCTGGACTCGCCAGGCCAGCTCCAGGCTTGCTGCCACCAGGGGGGAGCAGACACCAGGAGAAGGACAGCCTGGAAGAGGAGCTGGTGGACGGGCAGCTGAGATGGGACCTGGAGCTCCTGCCTCCTCCCTCCGTTCTCCCCAAGCCTATCTCACTCCCTGGGCGGGCTACAAGCTTCTGGGGTGGGGCTGAGCATCAGCTTTGAAGACCCAAGTTCCTCTAAACCAGGGTCTTCAAAGCGTGGCTCCAGCATCAGCATCACCTGGGAGCCTGTTAGAAATACAGGTTCTCTGTCCCCACCCCAGATTGGGTGAATCAGAAAATCTGGTGATGGGGCCCCACA